CCCTGACGGAGCAGAGGAACAAGCGAATTGAAGAAGAAATAGAGTGTGTGAGCGAGCAGATGGGAACAGGAGATATGCATGTTTTGCAAATCTGACATTCTGACATGCCCTTCTTGCAATGGTTCCCGGCTTGGTTCAGGGTATGTTCGTTTGGACTGGTTCAAGGAATGTTTGATTGAAGACAAGAAACATTGGTTGAGTTTGATCGGTTTGATCAGTTTTGCTCATTGCTGAGGATATTCATTGTTGTCAGCGTACGTCTGTCTTTCCAGTGCTTTTGGCTTGAACTTGAGCTCTTTGAAGGCCGCTCCTGTGCACATGTGCTCGCTTGCGTGCTCTTGATATCGGAGGTCCCCAGCTGCCAATATATCGGCCACAAAAAGTACCAGCAACATCCGTTTTTGCTTGTACAACCAAGAGCACTTCCTCTTGCTGCATGGGGGAATGAACATCATGTTTGTTGGTATATTGGTCATTTCAACATGTTCTCATGGCTTCACTGTTGACGGCCTTGCGCTCAACTGTTCTGTGTGCCTTTCTTCGGTTCCTTTCCGCTGAAGCACCCGGCGCCGCGCCTGCCGCGCCGCTGGTCATCGGCGGCATCGAATTCTCCCGGGAGGATGATATCGAGACGCTCGGAGATGCTATTTTTGCGCGGTGGAAGGGCATGTGTTTTTTGGTGCCTGGCGCACGGTGCTGAGGAATCGCAGGGTTTTCCCAATTGCTGTCATACTCAGAGGCTTTGTCCATCAGATCTCTGTAGTCTCCATGCTGGTTTGCCCAGAAGCGGGCTCACCAAGGGCTAGTCCAGTAATTACCTGCAACCAGTTTGTGTACATGACCCATATATGTATATATATACTGTGTATGTATATTGACGTGAATCATCATAGAAATTCCAGGTGTCAAATCAAGAACATGGACAATCCCTGGATCCATTCAGAAGCATGGATCATTTCATGTTGGCCGACAAGAAATACCTGGCATGTGCGAGGTTGTGGTTGTTTGCTTGATCGCCGTGTGATGAAACTCACATGCTTCAAAGACAGAGTCCTTTCGTCTTCTTTGCTCCGATTTGAACCGAGGAACATGGAGAAACTTTCGAATCTGTTTGGGCAGGCCGGCTCTTGTTGCCAAAAAATCTAACATATACAGACTGGCGAAGACAACATCTCGCTCTCCGATTTGTTCGGGTCTTCGGGTGAACTACACCTCGAATGAAAAGAACATTTAAAAAAACTCTGTCGAATATCCATGGGCCTGTGGCCAGTGGAATCAGGACATTCTCAGACTCCGATTCCCAGCTAAACCTCCAGACTCCTAGTGAAAAGGAAGACATGGACAAGTCAGTTTATGGATGTTTATCGCCAAACTTTTCCCCCATTGGTTCAAGAACCTCGCTTCGCACTTCACCCGACAATTTCACCCTTGGCCGCGTGTGGCAGGTCTTCTACACTCACCTTTTGTCGGATGACAGTTTTGCGGCTGACAACTGGCGCGCCCTGAGTGCAGAAGTTTGGCAACTGGCGCAGGTCGCCCTGGAGCTTCCAGCCATGGCTCTACCAGTCGCCATGTGTTGCTGAGATCCGAAGAATTGCTTGGATTTATTGTGTCTATACGATTGAAGAGGTAGGTTTCTCATGTCTGTTTTTTTTCCCGAAATGATTTGGATGTGTGGATTTTTTTGTTATATAATATCATATAATATCAATGTTAAAGCAAGAACCCACAGGTGGGGATTGAACAAATATGTTACTCTTTCAGGTGGTGAAAGGAGTTTTGGATTTGTCACGTTTTTGTGTGCTTTTGCAGAGACGTTTCCCGGTCTCTATGCCCACTCCTCATGGACCCCCAACTACTACATGTTTGCAGTCTACATTGTTTGAGGTCCAAAGTCGTTGTAGTTTTGGGTCCCAAAGTCGTTGGAAGATGAGTTCCCGCCTCCCCTGAGCAAGTCGTCCAAGGCTTGTACAACTACTTTTGGTGCCCTGGCGGGAGTGGCACGGTTCTTGGGTTGACAGCAAGACTTGGGAGACTACCCATGGTTTATTTATATATTTTTCCGGACCCACAAAAACAATCCTTGCATATGCTACATTCGCAAGATCCCCAACGTTCAAGGGGCACATGGCTTTTGTGGAAGGCATGGGTACTGGGACGACCCTGTTTAGTGGTCAAGAGATAATTCAATCAGAGACTAGCTCGGGTGGCAAGTGAACCTAAGTGAACCTAAGAGTTTTCACCCACAAGAAAGACAAGCCAACAACCACTTTTATGATTAATTCGAGACAAAAAAAGTAAGACATGGCCGCCCGGCCCACTGTAAGTCGAAAACCAAACATTAAGACATATTCAAGTAAGACATTGCAGATGATCTTAATTTCTTCAGCCACGCACAAGCCAAGAATCGCATAGAATAAACTGACCCACATATGCTCTAGAGATCTAGAACGAGCCGAGGTAGGCTTTTCTAAGCTAGGCTGATGAGCTCCATGTTTAGATCACCCGACTCTCTGAGTGGGCAGGGAGGGGCAGGGAGGCAAACGAGCACCACGCTCACCACGCTGCTCTCGCAGGTGGCAAGGTCCTGAAAGCACTGAAGCCAATGTGATGGCTGGATACCAGGCAGTGGGCAGATGTGGGCAGGGAACTGTTTGTATTCATGAACCATCCTAATTGGTTGAATCTGCCATACCAGGACCTTCAGTCAGTGACCTCCAAATGGAGTGTCTCAGTGACCTCCAAATGGAGTCTCTTCAGGGACCTCCCATCTCATCCTTAGATCCCATACCTTCGGGCACTTGATCTCTTCAGGTCCCGGTCTGTGACTTCCAAGAGGTAATTAGCCAGGACCCGTCACCTGGGGTACCGAACTGGGATGGTCTAGTTCGGGTCCTTCCACCTTTGTTGGTTTTTGATGGTTTTTGCATGCAACCCACCGGTCTAGCCGCTTTTGGCAATGGTTCCCTCTCTCCCGCGGGGGGTCTGGGGAAGAGGCCGAGACCCAGCGAGACCCAGGTCTGGGGAAGACAGCAAGCCCAAAACAGACCGTGTGCCCGTTGCTTTCATTGAGGTCACATGGGGTAAATGATGGCAAATGTAACTCTTCTACAGATGGATGTTTTGGGATATATACCTTTTAGATGAGCAGAGCAAGCAGAACAAGGCTTGACCTTGGTCGCCAGGCTTGACCTTGTGCAGGTGGCATTTTGGTGGGCAATGAACTAGAACTCGCCAACTGAATCTGAGAATCCGAAGACCAAGACTTCTGTGGTCCAAGACTTCAAGCAAACAGACCCTACTATCGTTGAATCGAGCCAATGCAATGTCCTGTGGTTGTAGAGTGATTTGGATGGAAGGTCCATTGAAAACATGAACGCGTGAAGAATCCCCTGGAGTGGGAAGATGTGAACGAACGCCGGATCCACACCGGGATCTTCCGGAAAGATTTGCCGAAGAAGAACTGGCTGGTTTGTAGATCAACAGGCAGAATAGTTGGAAGATCTAGGTGTATCTATGATATATATATATATACACATACATCTCTTTACCTCTTAGCACAGGTTCAAAGGAACCCTCCCAACCTACCCACTTCATCTCCCCACCTCGGCAGAAATTTCACCCCTCCGGAGGAGGCTCCCAGACCCACCGGTCGCTCCACCGGTGGGTTAAGCGGCGGACGCGGCAGAGAACAGACGGATCAGGGCGAGTGGTTTTCTTCCGATCAGCTGATGGAAGAAGACCCACAACAATACATCTGGGAATATTTGAGATCCGTAGGTATCTGTAGGGCCAGTATATAGCCGTAATTAGTGCTCTGTTGAGTGTATTAGTCTCAGCGTTTAAGGATGTCCGATGCTATTCACTTTCTTCCATGACCTCCCTGGCCATCTCCAAAGGCATCGGAGCTGATGTATGCAGCAGTGCAACATGCTCGCTGTCACGAGCCAAAGATGGATATGCGCCTCGGTGACAAAGGACGTTGGAAGTGGATGGCATGGCCCCTTGGCCTTGGCTGACCATGTTCCTCTACAAACAGATCACTTCCATGATTATTTCAGGGAGTGTTTGTGTTTGTTTTCTCGGTTGGCCAGGTCGGACGGAGGCAGGTTAGACTTGTTGTTTTTGAGTGTTTTGTTGAAGAGGGGCCCATGATCGTTAGTCACATGTTCAACGCTGGCCGCAACCCTTCTCAGGATGGACTTCTACATACAGCAGTGCCATTTGCGCTGGCGATATTTGCTGATGCTGACAGCCGAGACGGCGCGAAATCTACTTCTGCAAGATCGGAACATCTTGGCTGGCAGCAAGCTGATGAGCGCTGCACGCTCCTATCTTCGAGAGATGAAGCAGCTGCCGAATGTTGAGTTTCTGGAAGCAAATTCACGTAAGACTGGGGACCAAAGGCTGCTCATTGCATTTGCGTAAGCATCTTGAGTAGAACCATTCATGTACACCTTGCCTTGGTGTATATTTAGGTACTTTTTGGATTATTTTACATTACTTAGCTAGATGTAACAGAAATGAACACACCACTCATAGCCCTTGGAAGTAGCACTTAATTAGTTAGTGTTTGCCTAATAGTTGCTATTTTTAAACTTGCCAACTTGCCGGAGTTGTTTTTTTTTCGCACAAAAGCGCTTATTCCAGACCTCAGTCTAGACTTCTTTGTCTTTGTCAGTCAACATGGGCTGCCCTTGTTTTCTTTAGGCCATAAAGATCTGTATGTTTTCTTCAGCGTCCCATCTTGGGAGCATGGCGGCGTGAAGCCCTGACACTGCGTGGGAGCCATCCAAGTGTTTGTTCAACAAGCTATAAGGCGTTTTGTCATTTGTGTGCTTTCAGGCACGTGAGTGGTTGGCATGTGCCCAACTATGTCATTCGATCGAGATTCGAATTGCACATGTTCCAACCTTCCAAAGACACTTCTGTTGAATTCCTCCCAGTGCTGCATGGAAAACAGACGCTCTACCGTGTTTTCTTTTGCCCTGAGGCTGCTGCAGGGCTTTAGTACGCATGAAGTGAGTTTCAACATGGACTACTTCCCCGCTGCCACACTGCTGCATGGCCCGGTCTGGAAGAATCCAGTGCAGCTGCTGCCCGTGGCAAAGGTCTTGGAAGACAACTATTTGATGATCCGTTCGGAGCTCGAAGGGATCTTGAACTATGTCCTTCTTTGAGCAGATTTGTCTTACGGATATGTTTGATGCGAGTGTCTTTTTGTACGCACTTCAGGCTCATGTTGCACTAATCTATCGTGTGCAAAACGTAGAACATCGTAGATAGATGGCTTTCTGCGATCATCAATCCAATCCACCCACCTTTAAAGATCATGACTGTTTACCCTCCCCATCGGAGCGTATGTATCAAACCAGACAAACATTGTGAGAATAAGCCACCAGACCAGCCAGACCAGCCGATGAGACCAAAATCCTGAGACAGATCATTTACAGTGGTTTCAGAGTAGATGGCACACACCCCAAGTTCGGTGGTTTTTGTGCATAGGAGATCTTGGGGTAGATGCAACCACTTTACGAAGATTCCAACTACTCTTCAGCCAAACCATGGAAAGAGTTTTGAGATGTTTTGAGAGTGTCTCCCCGAAGAAGGTCGGGTCCTTGCCCAAAAGTATTTTTAGGGAGGGGACGAGTAGTTCTTTTTTATCAGGATTGCCCTCATTGTGCAACCTTGTTGACCCAAGCACCCGCACCTAAGGAAAGCTGGCACTACGTTTCATGACTTGGACCAAACCACCCGCAATGCTGAGACACAGTTTGGCCCTCGAGGAGACGACTGGCTGACCGCGTATCTCTTCCGGAAGGGGGAGCCTATTCCACAGGTGTGCGCCCATGCGCCGCAGACGCCTGGAGATTGGCGCAGAAGATCTTTCATACATATGGAATCATACGGATATATCTTGTTTGCCCTCCAAACATCTTCCAGCCTGTAAGCAAAATGATGTTTCATTACTACTTTGTGATGCTTTCAGGCCTGTGTTACCAGTACAGCTATAATAGATAAAGGCTCTCATTAAAACCCCGTGAGAGCGCGCTCCAACTCCACTCAGTTGAAGCAGAGCCACGGCCACATCTTAACGCAGCTTGCCCACCCCATCTCTACCTCAGCGCGGCCCCGTGGCTTATCGCATCGCGCGGCCTAGGACCTGCGAGCTGCTGCGGCAGCGTCCAGAGATTGGACAGTGCAAGCAGCCGGGCTCGGGCGCCGGGTTCTTGCGGATGCGCCCCTCTGGACGGCTCAAGCCGCACTTCGGGAACGCCCCCCCGCCACTGGGCATGGGTTTGGGTTTAAGTCACCGACTAATTCATTGAAACAAAGCTAGGGAGTACCCTCCCCGCCATTGTGACAGAAACTGATGGTTTGCCACAAGCCTATGTATCGAGTATATTTTGAGGGCGAGTGGTTTGAGTTTGTATTTTTGTTTTCTTTTTACATATTGTCGCACGTCCAAGAGGGGTCAAATGCCGAGGCTTAAGCGTCCATTTGGGCCTGATCATTCCGGATGGTGAGATTACCATGTCAGTCGGCTATGAAGAGGTGCGATGGGAGGAAGGAAAGGTCATTGCCTTTGATGACACCTTCATCCATCAGGCCTCATGGCTTCAAGATGTCCCACTGGTGGCGCTGTGTTGTTCACTGTCGCAGTTGCACTGGATGAGCCAGGTTCCAAACAGTGCATTGCTTGACGCTGATATCACGGTGGCAAGAAGAAAAAGAAATGTAATTCGGTCATTTATACGATTTATAGACTCTTTTCTTTTGGACAGCCCGATTCCAGCCAACAGATATTCATTGCTCATTACGAATTAGGGCGATGTTCAACGCCCGGGCATATGAGCACAGACAATCCTCATGGCTCATGAGGTTGTGCACAATGGCTTGGAACCCAGATATGTGATGCTGCTTGGCTTGCAAACATCGGAAATCGATGAAACTTGAAACATCGGAATTTCCAAAGACGGTGTACCTCGACCGGCTGCTGGCCGGTGGGGCTTGTCTTTTTGCGAAAGAAGCTGGTGTACATGAATGGCTGGATTTCTTAATGAATGGTGGCTGGATAGGTCTACATGAATTTGGACAGTGAATGATGTTGAATGTAGGTTTTCACACATGTTAAATATCTATAGATGATACATATCTCGACTCTACTGGAATTCCCTTTGAATGCTCGGATCTTAGGAATCTTTGGATGTGCCATCCATGTGATCCCTTTGATGGACGGCTCCCGGGATCAGCGCTGCCTGAGTACTGTGGTGGTCCACCAGGAGCCATGCATAGGCTGGGTTTACAGCCCTTGCCTGCAAAGCCTTCATGAGGCCGAGCAATGGGGTCAAAACTGTGCAAGATGCAGAGACAAACACGTTTGCGGGTCAAGCCTAATTACGACAGTTATGTTTCTGGTGACCATGCAGTGTTGTGTGTAGCCTGGAAATGGACAGCACTTGAACACATTGTTTTGACCCAAAGCTTTCTGAGATTCCACTTTGCTGTCAATGTCCCAAGCTCATCTAACAAGTGAAACCGGTGGTGCGTGTCTCAAGTCCAGCTGCAGCACTTTGGTTCACGCTGTTTTTTGCTCCTTGTTCTCAAGAGCAATGAACCAATTTTGTGTGTTTGAAGAACACGCCATCGGCTGGAAATATATGGTGTTTGTGCTGGACCATGGAACCTACACTGCCAACTCCATTGACCCAGTGGGCAGGTTGATTGCTGAAGACGACTCAACGTGAAAGTTGTCAAATGCATGATCCCCAAGGTTACCTTATATAGTTTGTTGGAGGGGCTGTGATTTGCTCCCTCAAAAGTGGATTCCTGGTATGAAATCATGTTCCGGTGTTCAGATGTGCAAATGATATCGAGTGATTCAATTCATGCATTGTTGTTTCTTTCACCATCAAAGTCATGAGTTTGGGTCCGGGTCAGAAGATTCGTGCGAAGAACCCCTGTCATGCAGATGAAGTGGACGGGAGTGGTAGACAAAGATCTACGTGTCCATTTGGTAGAGTTCAAGACCACAATCAGTAGCATTAGGCACCTATAGGCACCTCAGACCTATGTTTCTGAGGATTGGGCCAAAAAGAACGCGCTCAAACGGAGGTGTCGGCCTTGCGTGAAATCACGCCTTCGGAGCTGTCGGTGTCAAGGTGCAAAAACCGGAAACAGCTGGGGTCCATCGGGATCCGTTTTTGGGTATGTTATGTTGGTCCCCAAAAAGAGGTGTTGAACACATGTTGATTTCGATTGGCACAGTGACAGCTGATGTTTGTTCTCAGATTTGCACCACATGTTGCCCGTAGTTTTTTGTGTCTTGGAGCATGAGAAAACTCTCCCAGAAATGACCTTTGGGTTTTCATGGACTTTGGCCATTTGGGTTCAACTCACCTTCACCGCCCCAGTCTGAAACCTTTGCCAAGCAGCAGTTTTATGCAACCTCACATTTGCGCACAACACCGATTGTTCGTTGTCGCACGAGGTATCACGAGATGCACAAATCAACACTAGACTATACTTGGGACTTGGCTAATCTATGCCAGCGAATCTTCAAACAACACCAAGTATGCGTGATGATCCGAGAATCCAGATCACCCTCCTGCAAATCAACAGGTGAAACGGAGGGAAACCGCCCGGAGCGAGCTCCGTTCTCAACCCATGACGGTGGATGTGCCACGCAATCGCTGGGCGAAGCATGCCGCAGAGCGGGACCAGCAGATCCAAAGCGCGGCCATTGCGATGCAAGCGGCTTGGGCGAACAAATGATGGAAGAACGGGGGGGGCAGCCTGGTCAAAAGAATGAGGTGCAACATTAGGTTACGTATGTTGTATGACAGGTCAGAAAACACTTTCGAGAATTTCATAGAATTTCAATCAAGTTGGTACTCTCGCAGTATCCCAAACATGTTTTTTTATTTGCCCTCCAACAAAACGTGGAAGTGAACAATCCCTTGTTTGTAGAGCCTTTCGTGGTCTTTCCAGTGGTCATACCATCCACTTCCATGACTATTTCAGGGAGTGTAAATTGTGTTCTTTTCCCTTTGATTGCAAGATTGTCTCCTTTCATGAGGACGTTGGAGGGAGGGTACCGCCGTTGGTCCGTTGGCAACGAGGTGTTGCTTCCCGAACTCTCAGAGGAGAAGATCAAGTCTTGCCCCTCGGAGCGATGAGCAAGTCACAGCGGTGAGTTGTTCGAGTTAGTGGTGGTTCTAAGAACTGGTGGTTCTATGATAGGTAGGTGGTTCCTATAATATCTTATAATCACATTCTATGTAATGTAATCTTCTAGTAGATGGTGGTTGTTGAATCTTCATCCCATTCACATCTTATTTGGATGGCCAGAGGAGGGGTAAAGATGGGGTAAAGTTCTAGCAACGTGCTTTTCAGGATCTATAATATAGGTCCATGTTCATTTCCAAAAAACACCTCTCCCCACCACCCCGACCGACCTGAAACGCGTATCGTATCGTTCAGGCCTCCGTGCCAATAGCTGCAATCCGGACCGCGCCTTCGACCAGTTGGCAGATCCCATGGGGTCGCTCCACGACTTCGACGACGACTTGGGCGACGCCCTGGCGGCGATCGAGGCGGCGGGGATGGCGGACGTGGCAGCGGAGGCGAAGTCTGACACCGTGGAGGAGGTGACGGGTCGGGGTGTCGGGTGGTGAAGAAGACGTTCGGTGTCGGTGGGGGGATGGGTTGCATGTCGTAGCGTCGTAGAAGGGACCGCACGGCAAACCCTTGCCAGCACGAGGACAATATAGACTAAGTGGACATGAGTTGGGAGAGGAGGGACAAAGCTGTCTCCAGGTCAAAGAATGTCAAACATGCAATGGCACACTGAAATGCGATATCAATGCTTGACATACCTTGCTGACCGGTATGAACACGTCGGGAACCCAAAAACTGCACAGGTGAGGAGGTCTATTTCTCGAAGGTTCCAGACCCCTCTAGGGCTAGTCTAGACTTGCAGTATGCTTGCGGCCGTGCCGTTGTATCTTTCAAGTAGCTGAAGCACTGGGACACTTGGATGAACAATTAACACAATGAACACAAGTTATTGGAATAGGTCCAGGTAGCTTCTTTCTTTTGATCAACATCATCATCGTTCTTTGCCTTCTTGTCACTTGTCTAGCTGTTTTTTTCTCAGGTCTCCATCCCTCCGGACTTGGCTGCCGACCGCACACCGGTCCATTCTGCGCCCACGTTGCCGGCAGAGCTGGCTGCTTTGGTGAAAGAAGTCGCTGAAGCCGTGCCCGTCCTCCACTCAGACGTCCCACCAGCCCCGTTCCACGCGCCGCGTGGGCGTTCCACGCCGCGTGAAGAACGCCCTGCACCTTCCGGGCCGGTCGTGGAGGTGAAGGAGGAAGTTGAATCGAAGCCCAGTGTGCCGGACTGGCTTCCCATGTTGAAGCCAGTGGAAAGCAATGTCTCCAAGCGCCTTGGTGCGTGCATGAACTCTGAGTTGAAGGATTCAGGGAGCATTCGAGGTGGTTGTGTCCTACATGTCCTTAGTAGAGTTAAGATGTTTGGAGACATGTGATTCTTGCAGCGCGGCTGCAGAATGTTTAATGCATGGATTGACATCAAAAGGTATATGTTTCAAGCAAGTCTAGTCTTTTTCATTGACCTTGGTTTTGCGGCCTACCGACCTGCCTGCCGTCTCCGTCAGTTTCATCCATTAGCTGCGCCTACCCGCCACTGAGGCGCAGCTTTTACGACAAGCAGACCGACCGGCTCAAGGTGCGGCTGAACAACTGCCAGCCGTTGGACGTTACACAATGGTCATTCATGATGCACTCGTTTCGATGAAGACAGAAAGGATGATCATAGCTGAAGCAAGACACATTCCACCGAGTGATGAGGGCAGTGATGAAGGCGAGTTGTTCAGTTGTTCGTCCAGACTCCAGAGGTGTCCACCGAAGAAGGGAGGCCAGTGCCATATATGGATCCACCGTAATCGTCATTGTTGGTGGCTCCACCGTCGAAAGGACACCCTGTTGTAGAAGACACATGGAAATCTGTTTGCTGCAAGGGTCACCCTTTCACCAAAAGGTCATCCATGTCGGCCTAAAGGTCATCCACAGCTTCTTCCTTGCCACTTCCCGCACTTGGGTTCACCGGATCGAGGTTTCTGGACACAAACACATGGTTGTAGACACGCGGGAGGTTTGAAAACGCTCTCTCGAGCAATGCGAAAACCGCAGATAAGGAAGCACACGCTCTCAGCAGCCAGGAGCAATGAGCATCAAGACATACCTTCAATCAGATGCTCAGACGTACATCAAGACGGTATAAGAATGTGACTGGTTGCAAGACATACCTTCCAAGACGTGCATGTTGAAACGCATCAGATGATCAGACTGGATTCTTTGCAACCCTCATCAGAGCTCAATGACATCAGAGCTCAGCTGATTCCAGTTTCGCAAAGCATGGACACATAAGTGCAGTACGACACACTCTTGTGGTGTTTTGGCACGCCCGTGTCAGTCTGTATGGGGATGGGCCAAGTCTTGGAGCCCTGGTTCACCATGTGCTGAACGACCGACACCAGGTAGGTCAACCAGACCCACAAACATTTGGTTGGCCTGCGCAAGCGTGTCAGCCAGGCCGCCTTAGGTCCAGCACCCAAGGTGGAGCCGGTGCCCTCGGCACACGAGAGAGACGTGCGAGGCGTGTTCGCCGGGGACGCGAGACGTGGAGGTGACTTAAGAGTCATTAGGATGGACCCTGAGAGTTGATTGGCCAAACTAACAATGGACCCTGAGAGTTCACCGTGGACCGTGAAAGTTCACCGTGGAAAGACCCTCTTTTGCAACCCTGTGGTTGAGGGGTTCCATGTGGTCCTCGAGAGCAAGAACTTAAAGTGGACGAGTTGTATGACTTACACATATAGATCGCGGATGATTGGACTTTCAGAGTGGGTAGCTGCTGTTTTGCAAACATTGATGGACACTATGAAGTATCTCTCATCAAGGGCCACAGCGTCTTGCAGGTATCATGGTTTGGTTTCACACACATTCCTTTGGTCACACTGATTTTGTGGTCTCTAGCTGGGAGGTCCATCAGCTTTTAGGCACACAGGCGATCTAACTCAAACGAAGGGACTTGTATATCATGAACTATATGCCTATACAATCCTATACATTACATTGGCCCTTTTGAAGCACCCCAACTGATCGGTTGGAACAACTCCCCGTGCAATTTCTGCTATGGCTGCTGTGGAGTCTTTGGGTTTGGACCGTGTGTTGTCTCTTTGACCCCCGCCAGTCCCTTCAGGTTTGCGCCAGGGAGGCTGAGGCTCAAGCCGCCCCTCACGAGGGGGTGGATGAAGATAGGCCAAGTGAAAGCGGCAGAACCCGCTGGCGAACGGTTCATCCGTGGTGGTAGCGAAGTATCACGTGGTAGCGCATTGACCATTGAAACAACATGACCACCATATGTTTGTTGCATTGTTGTGTCTTATAGATGAAGCATACTGTAGGAACCATACAATAATATATCATAGTAACATCGTTCTCCTCCAGCCAGCGCAGTGGCGTTTTCACTTGGCATTGGCTGATACTAGTGCCGGCCCTGACATCATGTTTGAACCTTTTGAACATGAGATGCATACTCAAGTTTGTACATGGGCCAACAAAACACCCGACTTTGTGGATTGTTCTTTAAGAGCTTTTGCCAGGGCTTTGTCTTGAACCAGGGTCAACTCCAAGCTCCTGGTGGCTGGGTGACTCTCCTGCTGAGACTCCAGTCGTGAGGTGAGATGCAGGAGATGAGTTGGCCCACCAAACGAGGAGTGACCAAGACCAGTCCATTTGGGCCGAATGGATCACCAAAGAACACCAAACACATGCAAGAGGGAAGAATGGGAGCAACATCTGGTCAACCACTGGAGATGGGCATACCATGGGGATACCCAACTATCTTTTTTACGACATGGTCGTTTGAGTGCCGAATGCCTTTCTTTCAGCATCTTTCAACCATACAACTATTTAAGCTGTTCAGCTTGATCTTTGATCTGATCCATCGTCTATTTTCTGGCACAACACGTCAAGGTGCCACCGATGTACAGATGTACAGACGAATTGCTGATGGGGTCAAGTGAAAAGAGAAGAATCTGCACGGCGCCTGAACGGATCGTCTTGTGCATGCTTGTACTCTCTTTGGCTCGAATAGATTCTGTACAACGAGCTACTCAGCTACTTGAACTCTTAAGGCTCTCAAGCGTGCCGGAACCCTCTCATATGTAGGAAGTACATTAATCCAAACAAAAACTGTCCAGGTTCACTTCACGTTCACCTTTTTCGGAGGGACATCACCCTCATGTGCGGATGCAACGACACCGGCGCCAAGACCGGCACTGGACTTGACCGGTCTTGATCGGCTCAAGGGTCAGAATCAAAGAAGCATGCTCTCGCAGCTCTGAAAAGAGCAAATTCTCAAGCCCTTCAAAGTTCATCCAGATTAGAACAAAAATGTCTAATTTGATTTGTCGACAGATGATGCAAGGGTGTGCAACAAACTGTTTGATCTAGGAGAGAAGTCTTGCAGATATAGAAAATCCCAGTGAACCGTTACACCCACGTGGCACGCCGGATTCAACCACGTCTTCAGCCAGACGAGGCCTGCCACAACACAGAAGGCCATAGGCAGCTTGTTGTGGCACATTGCGGCACAAATGTAGGTCTCATTTGCCAGTGACTGGGACAGCCAGCATTCAGTCTTGGGTTGGTTGTCTTGCATGTCGCTGTCGATGCCATCGATGCTTGAGAACGTGTGTTATGTATTTTGTCTCCGAAGATCGGCAACTCCATGGCTTAATGGCAAAGTTGTAATTCTTGGTTGAACCCTTTGTTCAGTTGTGCCCCCGTGTCATTCTCCAACAGCAACCACGTTAGTTTATCCGAGCAGAACAGAAGAACATAAAGGAAGCTGTCACAGACTCCCAAAGACTCGCGATGTCCGCTGTGACGAAAGAGCGAAACAAAGAAACACAAGGGACTCAGACGCTCCATGGTGGCGCCAACAGGACCTATAGACGAAAAACCACCGCAAAAACCACCAGTGTCTTACCATGTAGGCCAAACAAAATGCAGTCCCAAGGAAATCAACCCAGCACCCTGGAAGCTGTGCTTCCGTCCGGTGCCAAAACGGGACCCGTCCGTGTCCCGCCAGGGCAGCATGCGACGGCTTTTTGGTCTCTCCAAGGATTGGCCAAGTTGGGGTGAGGGGATGGGACCGGAAAGGGATCGGCAGATGACAGAGTCAAAAGCTGGAAAGCAGATGACAGACTGAGCACTCAGAAGCAAGGGACAAGAATGGAACACACGGGCCCAAGAAAGATGTTTGTAGAAGATTAGACAGCTGTCATTGCTAAATTGAAGCAGGTTCTCTTGAACATCCACAAGCTGATTTATTGCGCATCCGAAAGCTGAGTGACTTGCTCAAGCTGTCAAAGACACCAGCAAACTCATTTTTTGAGATGGGTTGCAGCCCAGGAAAGTTGGATGAACCTGCGACCAAGGCTGCCTTGGGAGCCATCACCAAGGAGTATCCTGTGCGAATGCCGTGCTTGCCAGGTGATGTGTTAGTGAGTGGAAACTTGCCCGAACACGTGGTGGGGCAGCTGGCGGACCACTGCAAAGGATGGATCTATGTGAATCCGGATTCCGACCCGCACTTCATGCCACAAGCAATCAAGTCGAAAGGCTCCAAGTTGGAAGTCGTTCCCTTCAAGCCTGCCAAGGACCCCTGCGAAGGATTGCTGTGATTTGAGCGGTGGACGTGCAGGGAAGTGCAGATAGGTACTCAAAGCAGAGAGACCCTGGTCACCTGAAATACGAGGATGAATCAACCGCTCCAAGCTGAGTGACCCCTGTTTGTTGGAGTAGCAACCATCCAAATACCCCCATATTTATCATATTTGGCCTTTCCCAATCAACACAGGTGTGTCGATGAGTCGATGAATGATTATGCATGAACTTCCCTCGATGATGACGATCATCCAATATACAAGTTCCATATAAATACATGGTCCAAGTTTGTTCCTGTAGATAATAGTTTGTTGACGGTGAAGTTCTGAAGATGTTTGATGTTTGATTCATCCGAGGACACAGTCCAATATTGCTTCACCCTCGCTCTGGGTAAACATGCTTGTGAGGAACCTGCTACCGTATAAGGAACAACATGCAGAGATATGCAGGTGTTCCAGTGATTCCGGGTTTGGGCGTGACTGTGCCATGTTTTTGACGAATCAAAAGTAAAGGCAACCAAAAAGGACACACACACACACATGTGGGTTTGTTTCGGTCCGCAGTACTTCTCGCAGCTGTTCAGTACTTATGATAAATTTATCTTATGATAATTACAATGGATCACACGGAAACGCCGGTGTTTGGCTGTGATTGCAGGATTTGTCCTCCGGCGTGGTTGATCAATTGGTGAAAGCTATTGCGGATATGCCTCGGCCACTCATGATCCAGTGTACCTCAGCAAATCGAGCAGCCATTGCCCTTTTGCTTTGGCTGGCCAGGGTGCTTTGCAGCAATTTATTGGGTCGGGTGGGGTAGGGTAACAGGGCAATCCGTGATTGACCCTATTGCTGTTTCATATTGGATCTAGTTCTAATTATCATTGAAAAATATTGAATATATATTTTAAGGATTTTTACAGTAAGGTGTTCTTCTGAAAGATTCCACTCACGCAGGCACCTGAGTGATTCCACGTTTCTCGTTTTGCTGTGATTTGCTCGGATCCGGGTCGTTTCTGTGATGACTCACGTTAATGAAGATAGGCTTTGGACACGTGTTGAGGGAAAATTGCAATTAGGTTTTGCAAAATCTTAGAACAATTGTTGGTGCTGGTGCTCCCCAGTTCTTTTGATCGAATCGACCAGGGCGGCCCAGAGGTTCCTGAGATCATGGGATGGAGACTGCGATTGGCAAATAAGTGCTGTACGCCTGATATAGACACTATATATATACATAATCACATATAGTATCACATATACATTTATATGTCCAGAAGTTAGAAAAGATGACTCAACTGCATGTGACATAATATGTGACATCCTCCACTCCCAGTTCTGAGACGGAGAGCTTTGGACCACCAGTGCCACCCAGGAACGAGGCTACACCCGAGGCTCCGCCGAGCTCTTGATCTCAGATCTGAGTCTCGACACCGTGCGCCCCGACGCAGCGCAATGGCTCAGCAGCCGCTTGCCCGATCTGGAGACGCCAGAGAACCCCCGCGTGCTGGTGCCCAGGTGCAGGGTGCGTTTCTGGAGCGCGTTTGTGCCGGGCGATTTTTGGGGTGAGCGTGGCGTCGTGGCGTAATGGGTTTTGGAAGAAGTGGTTGTGGTTTGATAGGTGTGGAATCCATGTAAAGGATCTCAATCTGATCATCCTTTCATGGATGATGTCTGCTTGATTTGTTTTTTCTCGGCTGGATGAAGGCATGCTGACGGGTATGCAAGTCACGCACAGTGGGTATGCAAGTCATTTCATCAATGCACACAATTGGCTGTTCGACCTATTTGGTAGATGTTGGTTAATTGATGTGACGCCCGCGGCGTGCAATTCATCAGTTCATCCTGGCGTCACCAAGATCCCACCTAATTAATGTAGACTCTTGATCAATAAACCCTTCCATTGGAATTGGAAGTCCTCTTCATATGGGGGGGTTTATGGTCCTCAAGAGTCTCCATGATAGTCACTACCCTAGCCAGTGACGAGTCAAGGGCGTCCAGTGACAAGAAGTGTTGTTCTCCCTGTGGCTTCTTCAGCTGTTGGCGGCCCGGCCTTCACCGGCCGTCCCACGGTGTGGCTCCAGACCATCACGGCCGTTGGTATCAGCCTGTGTTTTCTTTTCCCAGCCCTAGACACTTCATGGGACTGCCATATATATAATGTATGCTTACATTGGGCTGGTTGACTGGGGGTCAATGGGGCGGCATATATGGCAGTCCCACTAGTCGTGTTTGGGTATGGAATTGTACATATTTGGGGGGGCGGTTTCAGGGTCAGATGCCACACATGGAGTATTTCGGAGCCTCCCTTTGGTGGGAAGGCGTTCCAGAACAACGCTTAGGATCCGACGATCGTGGACCCCCAAAAAAACACCCAACAGCCAAAAGCACACAGAGGCAAATCTGAAGCAGAACAGTTGAAGGATGATTAATATCATATAGTCTGAACAGGGTTTCCTGGTGGTTTCCTTCGCATTTCAATATTTTGTTGTTGTTGTTGTCGTCGTTGTCGTTGTCGTTGTCGTTGTCGTTGTTGTTGTTGTTGTTGTTGTTGTTGCTGAATGGAGTCTCCTGGTCCTCCTGAAGTCCTCCGCCCCACAAAACTGCGCTTCTCGCCCCCCTCCCAGGAGCCCCGAGGTCCAGCAGCTCTTCGATGTAGAGACCAGCACCTTCAGCCACTAAGCGAAAAAGCCAGTGGTGGAGACAATATGGGTGTGCTTTTTTTACTAGGGAGACCCGCAAAAAAATTGTGTTTGAGCAATTTTCTTGCCTTCCTGCGTCTTTGGGAGGCCTTCCTATTTTAATACACACGCTGAGGAAGGACTATGGCCCTGTGGAACGAGGGAAATAGACTCAGACCCCTGCAGTGTTCGATAGCTAGTCCCCTCCTTATGCGGCGCACTGGGAAATCAACATGATTGATTTTGATTGAGTTGCATGGATATTTACTTCATTTCTATCAATATTATTGTACTATTACATATATATATATATATATATGTATGCACAGTATATATGCACACATACAGTATATATATATACTGTACTGTATGTATATAATATATATATATGTACATATGCAGGTGTCTCGTGTTGTTTTGTCGAGGGTGTCCAGAGCACCCTGGATCGGCCGAGGCTACCTGCTGAGCTGTCCGGAGACCTCCGAGGCGGTGTTGATTGATCCAGTGTTGGAGCAAAAGGAGCGAGACCTGAAGGTCCCTTGGAGCTGGAGGTCCTCCATGGTCCGAATGAATACGAAAGATCTGAAAGGTGAGGACGATGATGCTGATCATGTATGTCAAATAACATGGTAAACGATGATCATAGTTCTGGAATGTGGTGTATCGGTGTATCTTATTTGGTGAATTCAGCATCATACATAGAAGCTACGAACCTGGCTCCTGGCCTTACTAGGAGCGATCGGACGCTACGAACGGGGCGAAACTGGCATCGCTACTAGAAGCAAGAAATTACGAACGTAACAAGAAGTGATACAGGGACCCCTTAAACTCACAGGCTGATAAGACCCCTTTAAGCTTATAGGGACTTCTCGCACGGTCACGAGCACGGCATCTTCAGACGCAAGGAAGGCGGTTTGAGTGACTCATGGACGGACTGGTTCGTCGTTGTGGGGACTCGGACTGGAAAGGGGAATAACATGGAACAACGGAACAACATAGTCCGAACGCATCTGAAGCATGGTCTGAAAATATCAAAAGTATGCCCAATTGAACGCGGGGACATGAGCTCTAGATCTTGCAAGCCACCCATGTGCTACGTTCATGTTTTTTTTACGAAACTGAGCCTGCACGCTTCTGCCTGATCTTGCAGCCTGATCTGAGGTGATCAAAAACTTGGGCCTTACCTTGAAGTATGTCATCAACACCCATTGCCATGCAGATCACATCACTTCGGGTGGGAAGATACGTGAAGACATGCCCTCTGTGAAGACCATAATCTCAGAAGCCTCAGGAGCGAAGGCTGATCTGCACATTCGGCATGGGGATAAGATCAGTTTTGGCAATCTTTGCTTGGAAGCTTGGACCTGGAAAGAGAGTGCTTCTTTGGTTAAAGATTCAGATGGCCAAAGAGAATTGAGATGACAACTAGGAGGAGGCGTAGACCAACTCTATCCCCTTATCTGCCCATAGCAACTTCAAGTAGACAGATTTCAACAACTTTCCGCTCCAAGGAAGTGCGTGCTACTCCGGGACACACGGATGGCTGCGTGACGTTTCTTTTGCAGACCAAGAGTGCAAGTTTTGCTTTCACGGGTGATACTCTCCTCATCAGAGGATGTGGGAGAACTGACTTTCAGCAAGGTGATGCACGTTTGCTGTACAAGAACGTGCATGAGCAGATCCTCGGATCAGACATTTTTGGAGCTTCACACAACGTTACTGCAAACATATCACAATCACATCATATCAACAAAAACGTATCCATTTGCGGAGGGGAACTTCCTTTTAAAAACAAAACTGTAGATGCAAACCAGGGGGCCGGGGTCGGGTCAACACAAGTCTATTGAATAAAGCATCGATTTTGAAATCAATGCCGTAATGTGGCATGATACCACAAAACATGCACGCAAAAACAACACGTTTAACATCTAACATGTTGGTGACTGTTCCAGTTGTGCTTTGTTTTACAGTATTGAATTTGTGTTGTTCATTTGTGCGGTTTACCATGTTTGCTTTGTCTTATGTGTACGTGTGTGTGTGTGTTTTCTTATGCTTTCAAAGTCTTGTGGAGGGCCTACCTACCTGATCGAGACCCCTCGTGTTTGAGCCTTGTGTTGAACCTAATAAGTGGAATATCGTGTTCATATAAGTTGACAAAACCTACAAATTTCTGAAAGAAAAATCAAGGACACCCTGTTGACCGGGTTCCTTATACATCCTTGTACCAAAGCCAAAGATGTTGACTTCACAACACATGTTTCAGATGCATTCTTGTGCATGTTGATGTGTTGTTGTTCTTTCTGCTAGCCAGTTAAATGATGGGACTCAAACAACAACCTTTCAACTCAACTAAACCACGACTTTTGCCAATCGTTTTTTTGTCAAATTGTGAGCTGAATGGTGCGTCGCTTCTAAGGATCTTCACTTTGCCGGGCGAGACCTTCATTTGTCCTGGCCATGACTACAAGGGTCGCAGCATCTCCACTGTGGAGGAAGAGCGACGTTTCAACCCACGCTTGACCAAAAGTGTGGAGGAATTCGTCCAAATGATGGAGAATCTGGGGCTGCCATATCCGAAACAGATTGATGTGGCGGTTCCTGGCAACATGATGTGTGGTGTGCAAGATAGTCCATGGGATCATCTTGCCATTTGACCAGGCGATGTGTTTTTTCGCTTCTGACACTGTCAGACAGTGGTCTTCACCGACGGACCTTCACTCCTGCAGTGATAGGACCGCTTCGCTTCGCTTTTCGACCTCCCAGAGGCGGATGAACAGCGCAGCTCGCGGACCGTTGTGGATGGACCGGGCGTGGACCGTGGACCGTGGACTTCGAGATTGAGAATCACATGTTCATACCTAGACCCCGCAAAAGACGTATTTTTTTCTGGTGGGGGCAATTTTCAGGCGAAGCTCAAAAGAACAACACAGCAAGCAGTTTTGGTGTTGATGTTTGTCGCTTCTGCGTTGTTTTTTTTGTCATTTTGGCGTCATGTTTTCTATCGCGGACTTGCTGCATTTTTCTGCGTCATGTTTTCTGGCGAGACGGAAAAAAAAAGACATCGTTTCAGGGTCCAGGTATGGACCGTTGAGAAATCCATAGCTGTATGTCGCGGGATCAGTTTTATAATGTTTCATATTGTTTCATGTATTCTAGCTCACATGTCTTTTGGTGAATCTGCAGAAGGGTAGCGGCGTTTCTGACGCCTTAAGGTCGCCGACATTTGCCGAGTGACCTGTAAAGTTTTATTGCGATGTGGAGACTTCACATTGCATGCGGTATGTTGAATGTGGCATGATTGAATTGGGATTGGTCATGTTTTAGATTGCATCATGATTATGATTCCATCGGGTATTTGGTTTTAGCTCTTTTTTGCAATCAAGATGACAGAAGAGCATAGGGCTCGTAAAAGAACAAGGACAGAAAGCAACCAGCACCACCCAAAGGGCGTTTTGTTCCATCCGCCTGGACTATATGTGGACTTTATGTGGTGCTGGAATAGACTCGTCGTTTGAGTGGCGGCTTCAAGAATGTGCATCTCCGGCCCGAGCTCAACGGAGCAACATCCAGGAAGAAGACTTGTATTCCTGGACCCTCCAAGGGGTGGCTTGAAGTGCATAGGTGACCTGATTCTTTCAGCTGCGGGGGGCGACTGGCGACTGTTGATCTTTGATGATCTTTGCACTGGCGTCTGGTAGAGTGTTTGGTCGCTCAGACCGTTTCCTCGCAAAACGCTTTTGACCCCACCGGGAGGTTCCTCCCGGCAGAAAACGCTCCCAGGAGGAGACGGCTCCGAAAGAGGCTCCCAGCTTGTCGGAGGCCCTTTTCGCTGGTGGAGCTACTCGGGTTTTTCAGAAGCCCCACAAAAGCCTTAACATGGGAGAAAAAGCCTTAAATTTATAGCCTATTTACATGTTTGGGCGCCCTGAAAATGCTTGCTAAGTAAGAGCTCCACTTTTGTAGGGCGTCAAGTGTGTTTTACGCAAGTGCCCCAAGCCGCGGCAAATTCAAGAACAGCACCTGGAGCCCCAACAGCATGTAGCTTGACCTTCCAGGTAGGTGAACCAAGGACTCCTGCTTTTGACCCACAGCCATATTGATTGTGGCTCACAGAGAGATTGACACCAGCTTTCATGTTCAACGACAGACTTCTGATTTGCATCGAATTGTTCCACACATGTCGAATCGATCGAGTCCAACACCTCGCAGGCGTCCACTCGCATCGATGAGCAGGCGTCCACCGGGGTGGTCCTACCATGTCCCAGCCTGGCTTCTGATTGGAAGAGGAGGGTGTGTCTTGATGACCCACATCAAAGAGCTCTTTTCCATGCTGCTTCTTAATTTGTCCAATGAAGCAGAGACATGATGCATGTTGGGTATAGTGATTGTGGAGCAGGCGACGTATCCAGCTTGCTCAAAGAGAGGGTGCCACTGGTTTCTTCCGTTTGTGATTGCGATGGCCGTCCCGAGAACTTCCTGACATTAGAGTGGGAGTGAACAGGTGGTGATTCCAATGCGCCACCTGACAAAGCAGGAACATGTGCCACTTGACCCGACAGGGCCAGGAAAAAAGGGACAACCACGAAGCCAACCAGCTCAACCAAACTCTCCAACCAGCCTTGACATCTTCCTAAAGAACGTATTTGATTGCGTACGGTATTCTGGACATTTACCATGTAAAACAAAATACGCAGTAATAACGTGAAATAACACGGCCCGCCTCACGCGCAAAAACACGTCTCACCGTGGCGATAACACGTCGACGTCTCCACCGCAAGGTGTCCAACTTGGAGGCGAAGATTCAAAAGACCGACGAAGAGATCAAGAGCCTTGTGGCCAAAGGGACTGACGAAGGGTCCGACGTGCGCGGAAAAAGCTCGGACCATGGGATGTTGTTTGTTTTGGGGCGTTTGACGAAGGTGGATAGGAGGAGAGAGCTGGGTGTTTGAGAGCTGTTGCCTTACCGATGACGATGATGGTATATCTTTTATATACTGTCATCCATTTGCGGACCAGACATTTATAGGCTTAAACTCTTGGATTTCTCTTTCTAGGTTCCAGATTACGTGTTACATGGTTCCTTTCTCATGAGTGCCAGGAGCTCCAATCCGACGGCCAAGGCAAAAGCCCTTCAGGCGCGAGTCACATTGACTAAGGGGACTGGGAGGGAACGAAGGATTGAGATGGATTGAAGATGGCTCCATATATTTGCAACTTTCTTTCCAGAGGGTTTGACTTGAACTATTCCTATTCTCAGAGACATCCATAGAATTGGTGTTCAACTACAAGCAAAGTGGCCTGTAATGTTCTTCTGCTTCTCTACCTCTCTACCTCTCTCTCTCTCTCTCTCCTCTCTCTCTCTCTCCCCTCTCTCTCTCTCTCCCTTGTCTTTCTCCCTCTTTCTTTCAGAGTGTTTTGATTTTTGGGTACGACAGGATCATTCAGACTGACCACTGGCACTCTTCCGTTGGCATCCAAATCCAACGACTCTTGTAAGGGCTAGCGGCTAGCTTCCGGTGGATTTGCACAATGTGACGATGGGCTTGGTCTTAGGGCTGTGATCGGGTGATGAGATGGATAGGCTTCAAGAATACAATGGCCACAGTAGGTCTGAAGAAAAGGCGAGCCAATGGCTTGAGTATCAAGCGAAACTATATACTGTACTACCATGTAATACTGTCAATCTTTCCACCATTCCACTATCGGCGTGTTTGATTGTGTTTGCTCCATGCCTCCGCGCGGTCCACTTGGCAAGGCGATGAAGAAAAAGAAAATGTACGAACAGCAAAGGGTTCAGCTCTCAGCCAAAAAACAATGATTTACGTGTACGAAACCTGGCACTAGGAAGGACAATCCCCCGATCGTTGTTTCTGTTCGCAACGCAGCAATGATCCAACATATGGCGATCCGTCGCCTTTCAAAACAGATGTGTTGGTATTGTGTGTTCCTATAGGTTTGATCAGGTTTGAATGTTGGTATTGTGTGCACGTTCTTTCTTTGATGGGTCATTGACCAAAGTCCGTCAGGTTGACAGGTTGACTTTCTCTTGAAAAGAACATGGAAACTGACAGGGTTCGAAAGCATGGGCTGCAGGGCTGCATGTACTCGCCAACCGGATGAAGAGAAAAAGGATGAACAAGGGTGTAATGAATGATTCTGGATTTATGTCACCCAGTGGCCCAGTGAATAGAAGGATGCACCAAGTTGCCAAGCTATGCCAAGTGTTGGTGGAATTGATATATCAGGTAGACCCCGGAATCTCGCCCCGATCGTCTGGGCAGACTGGTCTATTTCCCGAACCGAACCCAGGGGTCGTTGTTTGGGAGGTCCCAAATAGCGCAGCGATGCCCAAAGTCACGACTGGCTCTGAGGATCAACTCCTTGCTACACAGTCCCGAAGCTGAGCAATGCAGGAATGTTGCCAACTGCCGTGGGTCACTCCATGTGACACATCCAGGTCCCCCTATAATTATATACTATATATATAATGTATGTATACAAGACAGAGAGTATGAGTATTCGCTGTGATGCACTTGTAGGCCGATGAACATCGGTGGCTGACTGGCTAGAAGATATCAATGAAGCGTGCGTGCCATCATGAGGACGGAAGGGTTTCGATGGACTGATTTGCATGCTGGTTGTTGTCCTGGAGCCCTTTGGCCAAGGTTGCGTCCATATGGTTTCAGCTTGTTTTTAGCTCAGGGCATGCTGGTTTGTCACGTAATGCACACGTAGGATTAATAAAGGAGGACACCCCCCCCCTTCAAGGTCAACAAGGTCAACAAGGTCTGAGATTGGAGGTATCTGAGGACCACATCCCCCTAATAAAGGTGATGACCTGATGATGAAAGGGAATTTGATTTGGAAGAATTGGAATGAAAGGGAATTAGTATTTGGAAGAATTGGGCTGAAAGGGAATTAGTTTTGGAAGAATTGAGATGAAATGGAATTAGTATTTGGAAGAATTGGAATGAAAGGGAATTAGTATTTGAAAGAATTGGGCTGAAAGGGAATTAGTATTTGGAAGAATTGAGATGAAAGGGAATTAGT